CTTGGCCTGATAGCGGAGTCGATCTTGAAGCTCATAAAGGTTGCATGCTATCCTACGCAGGGTCGTTTTAGAAATGGGCTTTGATGGTGCAAAACTTGGGCCCAATTCTAATAGAGAGCGCGCATTCTCAGGTATTGTTATGCCCCCAATCACGGTGGCCCTAGATTTTCTTGGTGCATTATCACAGAAGTATAAGCGATGAAGTAAGAGCAGCTATAAAACGATGCTTAAGAAGGGCAAGTCTAGAGGAATCGGTAGCGGTAGTTGAAATACCACCGACTACTCTACGTCGCCAATTAGTTCGCAACCGCTTGTATGACCGTCTGTGTGAAACAACAAATTGCGTAATTTGCTCTTACGGCAGGACAGTGATTGCATGAGTTCAAGTACGATATTCCTGATCTCTTGTAACAATTGCGGAGATGAATATATTGGCGGAACGGGCAGACCTTTGTTTGTCCGTATAAAAGAACACCTAGATGGCAAACGAAAACTAAGACGAAGCACCCCACTAGGCACGCATAGGATACAAAAGCATAGCGGAGACGATTTTGAAGTAAAAGTCAATATGCGTGCACAGGAGTCCAAAACACCAGCGCGAAAACCTCTTGAGGCTTTTTGGATAAATGCCAAAAACCCTACAATGAATAGCAGGGATGAATGCCCGGAGGTCATACGCGACCTGATCCCGTATGTTCGCATCGGTTTTTGATGTGGGATGGTGCAGTCGTCAACCACATGCGACTATAAGCAGCTGTTCTAAACTTCCTCATTGGAAGTCACGAAAAAGCAGTGGGTTTTTTCGAGAGGTTGTTAATCATGTAATTACCGAAGAGTTTTTCNATGTAATTACCGAAGAGTTTTTCGTCTTTTTGTAAGTGTTATTGAAGCGTTTGGCCCAGTAGATTGTATATCAGTATACCCTTCCAGGCTCTGAAGAAGGCGATACTGCCGAAACGCCTGTATTGTATTGTTTTTTTATGAAAACAAGTAGAGTTTTTCAACTTCGTCCCATTTTCGAATACATTAGTATTTTAGACGACGCTACGGGGATGAACGGAGAATCCATTGGTACCCGCTTGACTTACTACATTATTAACGGAACGAGCAAACTTACAATCATAAATGACACAGGAAATCGTTAGAACGGTCAAAATACATGAAAAAAGAAGAGCTTAGACAAAACCGAATTGCAGTCCGTGATTAGCAATATGGTACAAATTCGATTCACCGTTCTCAACTCTCAAGCACTCTTCCGAACGGTTTGCCGCCTTATCGTGGCTGGGAGGTGTTCCTGGGTGTCGCGCTGCGATGCACAGGGGGGATTCGTCCTCCGGACGGGTCTCCCAAGCTAAGAAAGAGTCCGGCGTTTCCAACAAGAAGCCTAGCTAAAAGTAAACCAATACAAGGATCCACCACCGTCTTGGTATCAAAATCGGCAAATCTCTCTCTGATCCACAAAGGCTGCGACTACCTGTGGTGGTGAAGACCTGGGACAGACTTTGGCCAGGCTGACCTCGGGATTCCAAGAAAGCACAATGGCTTAACCAACAACTCTTATGCTGGGGTCCGCACAACTAGTGATGACGGGCTGTTCAGTATCAAGTAAGTAAGTCTTGAGCACTAGATTGGAAAGAAAACTTTCCAATAATACCGATTCTGGGAGAAAATCGTAATAGTGAATCGCTTCTTTGAGAATTTCATGAAAAGAACACAAGATACTGTACAAGTGCGGCAAAACAGCAATCATATCACCTGGTAATTTAAACCACCCCAAAGCCAATCAGTGATGGGTCCTGGTGTCATATTCCGTGTGGTGAGGATTTGTAGACAAGGAAAATTGTTAAGCAGTCGAGAATTTGCTGAAAAAGTGCAAAAATTCAAAAGACACTCATTAAGATATGGTCCCGCAAACACAAAATAGTCGACAATGAAATTGACGACGATTTCAATAACTACGATAACAGAAACAAATATAAGTCAATTCCAGCCATACCTGGAAATTTGTCAACTGAGTTATGATTGAATGTAACGACGTGAGCAATAAGAAAAGCGGACAAGAACTGCGAGACGACAAAGTACATGACACGAACGCTCATCGACGGGAGCAGATACAGTTGTAATAGCACCCATACCCAATGAGCCACAAGCAGCGACTGAAAAGGATCAACACCCATGGATACGCTCTTCAGATCTCAACACATCACCACATCACCTCACACAAGCACAAAAATGTGACGTTTAAAGCTTATGCGTTGATGCACCTTCAAAAGAAGCCGCATGTGTGGGGCGTTGAGGCTGATGTGATATCTTTACGTCTTGTTTCGGGAGTTTAATTTGGTGTGCTCCTTGTAAGCAATCGATTGCTTATCGAACGTAGAGATAGAAGCGGTATTGTCCATAAAAAGATATTTTCTAAACTTGATAATGTACAAAAAATACTTTTTCGACGACTTCACTGACCGGTTATTTGGCTAGTGATTGACTGTTATTTCAACTTCACTCGCTGTAATGAATCATAACTATCATATGGAATGTGGGGTGTACAAAATCACGAAACAGACTGGGCATAAGTCTCAAAACACTTCCAAATTTTGATAGAAATGTAGTACGACGAAGCATAGTAATACATAGTAAAAAGCACCATATATACCATGCGTACGCCTGTAGCGATAGATCAAACCTACTTCCGTAGCTCTGTAGTGCTTTGAACCCCTCAAATCTTCAAGAAGTCAAATTGCAGTCTATTGTCGAGAAATCAGCAAGTTTGTGGCGACATGATATTAGGTGTCGTCAAATGTGAGGAACCATTTAACCCTCTCACAACCATGCGCACTAATTTTATTGCGCATCTTAGTTGCACTCCAGTGACATGCGGTCGTGAAAGGGTTAAAACTAAGCAATGTTGCTTAAGTATAATACGACATTTTACTCCTCGAATATGATCGGAACATTGCTGTCGTTATACGTGAGCATCCTTTTTCTCGTTTATCCTCCAGGATGGTTTTCTTTTCCACAATAATCATATCTGGATTTCTGGATTTTCTGAATCTGGATGGATTTCTTTTTCAATGGTTTGGCTTCTTCATTGTGACAGCGAGTGTTACTGAACATGGAAACTGAGAACGAATTCCCCAAAAAGTCCACACTGAACAGAGTTCAGCGAACCGCTTATGTCTATCTTATCACTGAAAACAGTAAAAACAAACGGGCATCCACCAAACATGTGACGTTCTTCGTCTTTTTGTGGGCGAAACCCTCTATGAAGCTGAGTTGCACCGCATGGTTATTCATAGCGCCTGTGTTTCAATAATTAATGACGATGAAAAAAGAGTCAGGAAGAAACTATCTGCTCGCAGTCGCCGTTTGGTATGATCACTTAAAGTAGGATTACACTCCTGTACTACTGTCGTTGCTTGGTATCTCAAATAGTGTTACCCATTGTGGGAGACACGGGTCATGTTCAGGACTATGCAAGGCTTACCGACTGCACGCCATCGGTTCCCATTACCCCAACAGGTAACAGTTTTGTAATTATCGTATCCATATATTATCCTGATATCACCATTTATTATATTCAATTTGTCCTCTTTCATTCATTCGACGGTCCATGGGGTCGACTGCTATTTAAATTAATGCAGTGGTGTCACCTTCATGAGGGTCGCTGAACTAATTCCTCTTTTTCGATCTCTAGAACTCGTGGTAGACATACACGGCATTCGTGCGTTATAGAGAGATTGGAATAGGGCGTAGTCGAACGAGAAAATGGATTGACTGCACTTTATCTCCAACTGATGCTCTTTCCCTACTCAGTTTTATTATGGGACGGCAGATTTTAATTATTCAAACAACCGTTTCATTTCTTATTTTACATGATCCGTTACCACATCTACTATGCAGATCCCAACAATTCTTTCATTGGATTTTTTTTTCACATCCATCGGCAACAATGGTCTTCGAACAATTGGCATGTTTTGTTTCAGTGGACTGGTGTTTGAGGATTTCGTCTTCCCTTTGAATGTCGTAAAATGCTGATCGAGTCAATTCTACTTGCAATCTTGGAGATATCCAAATAAAGGCTTTTCCACGTGGATTGGAGTAAAACGTTGGGAGGGTATCGAACAAGAGCCTTTGATTCCTGAATGACGGCGTTATTTACCTCTTCGCTACCACTCTCCTCCTACCCATTTTAATAAAACAACAAACATATAATTAGTGTTTCTTTCGTTCTTTCAAGCACTAAGTGCAATAACTTTGTTTAAAAAGATTCTTGAAGAGATACTCACAAAATTAGTGTCGTCATTGACTTTTTCGTTGCTGAAGTTGTTGACCGATTTTAGAAGCAGAAATCTATTCCCATTTTTATTATTGTAGAAGTTGTTATTAATACTATTGCCGACACTAGAAACCTACCTGTTCAGTGAGCGCATTTTTTCTGTAGATGCGATACTCGCTTGAAACGCTTTCACCAAACACCCAAAGTAACGACTGAGTAGTCCATGAAATTCGAAGTAGTGGTAGAGTGAGCGTGAAGTAAAGATGTTGGTAAGGAACAAACTAAAGAAATTCTCTTCTCCGAAATTAGAATATTCGAAACCAAACTTACAATGCTCAGAATGGTTCACCTGTTCATGCAGGTTTTTTTAGTTTATACTTCTTATTAGATTAGTTCTTGGTCTTTCTTCCGACACTCTGGTCGATGAAAACTCCGTCGTAATGACATTATCAATGACTTGGAGAAACTACTCGATTACTCGACACCCACTAATTAGACCATTTCTTTGTGATGATATCACCTTTGTAGCATCAGACATTAAACAGGTGAAAAGAATGGTGACCGATTCCCCTAGGGCACGTCTTCTAATGAATTTCAGGGACACTGTGCATAGAGATGGATTTTTTTCCGATGTACCATTTACGTTTAAATGAAATGGATATCTTCGAATGTTCCTGCTATGCCTGCTTACGTTAAGAACAGGAAAAGCGGAACAAGCGGTTCGAGAAGGATCAAGGGTGCAGTGAAGAGAACGAAGAACACCCTACTCTTTACCTTTTCTACTTTACAATTCTTCCTGCCTTAATGCACATGCCGGAAATACAATCAGAATTAAAGATCACTCAGCGTTATCAAATTTAGCACCTGAACAGGATCATACGATAGAAATTAGGAACAGAGAGTTCGTAACTGCGTTAGAGATCAAAATTCTCGGTCCATGAAGTATATACGAGTATGTCAGAAATTAGGTGCTTCAGGAGGTTAACGACAATTGGTGGACAGGCGCCATTCGCGATTACGTGGCATGATGTCAAGCTCACAACAATGTGAGTCAGTCCCGATGAGTAAATCTCTTTATGAAGATATTCGTGTCATATTCTTCTTATTCTTATTCGTCGTCTTCTTGTTCTTGGTTAATTCTTTTCGTGTTTCCATAAAGACCTTATAAGAAGCACATGACGCTCACCAGGTCTCTATAGTGCACAGAGCTCATTATGCTTCTCTTGAGCGCAACACGAAATATGAAGTGTTTACTGAGGCCCACTCAAGTCACTCAACATTCAAAGAAAGCAACACTTCTACTTACGAAGGGGTCACAGTCATTATATTACCTGAACTAGACAACCTCCTGAAAAGGTTGAGAGTAGAATGACTATAAAGCTCAGAAGTGTAGAAAAAAGAGCAGAAAACAAGTTATTGACCATACAAAACGAACAACAAGTTAGACAAAGATTTTTACCTATGAATGATTTGGAGTTAAAAGAAGAGGTTTTGTGACTTAAGTCTCAATTAGTTCAAACGAAAAGAAATCTAAGGCTACCTTCCAACTGTGCTTATTTGAAAAACACGGGACCGCAGGTGCCTACGGTGGGAAACGAACGCGCTATTACCCTTTCCAGGGCTAACGCTTTTACCACAGCACCATGCGGGTCCTTTCACCTGTCTCTCGGCTAGTTCTATCGATTCGTCCTATCAGCAATCACCCGTCAGCGGAATTGATCCGGGAGCACAAATCGGCATTGAACCCAGTTAAGCTGAAGCTGTAGTTGAAATCATAATGTTTTCACTTTTTATTTTTTGCCTACTACAGTGTTTACCGATGAGGGCTGATGTGGGCTACCAGATCAATCCCGTTGACGGGTGATTGCTGATGGCAAAAGATCGATAGAACTAGCTGAGAGACAGGCGAAACGAATGACCCGCATGGTGTGGTGGTCAACGCTTTAGTCCTCGGAAAGGGTAATAGCGCGTTCGTTCCCCGGCGCAAACACCTGTGGTTCGGTGTTTTACAAATATCTCAGCAACACTGTGGTTGCATTTCGCTTAATACCCTGCTTTAAAAACTGTAGTAGGCAGGAAATAAAAGTAAAAACGTTTTGCTATTTTGTAAACGGAATAGAAAACAAGAATTAGACCAAGGCTTAAGCATCCATTAACCTGGATCAGTAGTTAAGTAGTTAGAATTATCAGTAGTTAGAATTCTAGTCGTAGTTGATTCTGAACATGCGGAAACTAAACGAATTTGCAGTTATCCCTATCATAATGTAGCGGTAGTGTGGAAGGCTACGTGGCTCATGAAACGGGTTCTAAACTATGCGCAAGTGAACAATGCATACAGCAAGGTGAACAAAGACGACTCTACCGTAGAATAAGCCAACAGTAATGGGATGACAAGTTATCTTACCTTTAGAATGAATCTCTCCGCTGGTAGCTTGTATTTTAGAATATCGCTAGGTATTAAAGCAAGTAACGGGAACAAGTCGATATCACGATCACGGTCGATTATATTCGTTGCGGCATGATGAGTGTTATGCTGAACGACAAAGAATTACTGTATTCCAACTTAGATATGTAGACTATAGATCAGCTTGCTGTCAAACTCTAGTCGTTTGCGGTGGTTTTGCACGCAGATTAATGCTGATTGTGTGATGAAGACGAAGTCTATCTGTAGTGATGAACAGAACAATTCAAATCGAATGACGCTACAACTCAATAACATCTGCTTTGAATGCAAGCCTTCTATTATCGAAATTTCTTCTTTAAAAGTCCTTAGATTGCTTAGCTCACACAAAGTTGCTATAGAACTTTTATTCGCTAACGTTTAGACGTCTTCATTTTCTTCAGAGTTGATAATTCGAGTCGATGGTCCACGGTTGTTCGTCTTCTTGATGTGATGTCTGCGTCTTCGTAACAAGTCGAATCTTTTTCTTCGCTAAGCTTCAACAGATGCTGCGTCAGAACTACAGTCCAACACTTGGGAAGAAATACAGTACGGAATTCATCTTCTGGCCTGATTCTGTTCAATATCGGTATTCTGATCGAAGGTATAGTATGTTTGCAATCATTGGTGCTCTAAAAGCATGTACGGTAACGTTGTAATTACCAGCACCCTAGCGGAGGATTATGATATCTTACAAAAGTGATCATTAAGCCTTGGAATCTGATAATTCTTTTGCTATTGGAGGTTAGATTTGCTGCACGATACAGTGGATATGTCGAACATGACTCATTCTTTAAATTAGCGCCTTCATATGAAGCTAAGATTCACTATTGTACAACCATCCTAGCAGAATAAATCTTGTGCAGAGTACCTTGTCCTTCCACCAATCAGATGAAAATCCTTGTACAAGATTTCCAAAAACAATCGAAAGCATATTGTTCAATTTTCGATTTCTTGTCGGTTGATGATGAGCACAATCGTGTGTTAACCAACCGAATTGTTGCCAGGCAACGGCTAGACAAATCGCGGATGTCAGATACCTCAACGAATTTATGTTATTGTTATTATTAACCTTTGTTACTTTTTATAGTAAAAGTCGTCACTTGTAGTGAAATAAACAATTTGATAACATCTATTCTTCTCGGGTAAAGCGGAGAGGGCAACCTGCAATCAGAACTGTCTGCGAAGCTAAAACGTCTGACTTGATGCTTCAGTAGGCCACCACAAGGGATTGTAGCAGCCAGATTTAGCTACTTCTGCGGTGCTAAGAATGGAGTTAAACGCATGGTGCGACTCAGGTAAATATCGGCGTCGAACTAAGAACTCTGTTGGAATAGAAACATATAATCGAGAAGTACGACGGATGTTCCTCAGTGTCTCTCTTAACAAAGAAGACTAACATATTCTCTGAGAAAGCCAGACAAGATGATATATTTAACACACTCAGTAGTCAAAAACAATGTAAATAAATAACGTCGTGTTCCCGATTTTGACACTTCTGCAACGGGAAAGATAGGACGGATAGGTAAAACGAGCCCAAGACCTCAAGGACATTTAAGGCTGTCCGAAATTTCAAGGATTATGGTGACGGCCAAGCCTTCTACTCTTCCAACTTTGTTCTTGAAAAAGACATCAAAATTTGGATTTTTACATTTCTTTAATTTTCTTAAACTAGATTTTGAAAACACCGTTGTAGAAAGGGTGTGTGCTGTGCAGTGGTTAGAGGTCCTATGCATACACGTGGATTCGATCCCGTGGCTTGGGCTCACCAAACCCTCCATCCATTTATGACCGGAAAATTTCAAGCAGGCTTGCCTAGAAGGATAGAAGCGCTGATTTGATACATCAGTAGCCCACTGTGAGTCATTTTAGAGGTTTGATACGCAACCATTCACCTATAACGATTGTTGTTGAAGTCGTATGGGGCACGCCTTAAGGATTGATCAATGCGAGACCTCGGCCTTTTATCCTTTCATCGCTATCGATAATATCAGTGAAGACACGTGAAACACTCAGCAGCCTGATAACAACATTTGAAAAGCAGAAAGCTCTTATACGGCGAAATAATAATTGAGTCAGATCAAATCAGAGTCCAGAGTACGATAACCTTGACACTTATCACCTGTTTTCAGGTGTCCTCAAAAACGGAATTGCGATAATCCGACTTAAAAAGTCGATTTTTTAATCTTCGACTACCCCGTTCTCAAAAACGCAGAACGATCTGTCGACCATGGTGTGTGGAGAGTTTGTTGATCGATCTCGAATTAAATCACGAAGGAAGGGTATTCAAGAGGAATGGATTTCTTGCAGATGTTCCATTCCTGCTCAAAGGGTTTCCTTTTTCCTCGCGACTCCTCACACCTATAGCGACGATAAAAAAACTGGAATGATGACGCATATACCAAGATCGGGTAGACGAAACAAGTTATTGGAAAACGATCTGTAAACGAATGCTTTCCAACGGATGTCAACTGGACATTAAGTAAACCACACTCTGGTGGTGAGAGGCTTTCGTGAAGACCGTAGAAGAAAATTAGCCACTATCCGTTATCTCTGATCAATAGAACTAACTGAATAACTCTGTATAGTATACTCTAGATAGTTAAATAGATGTATAGAGAATTTGTTGACATATGTCGGTATCTGTTGACACTCAAGAGAAAAGAAGATAATATAGCTAAAAGTTAGCATTCTTATCTAAAACAACGACATTTTTTCCATGTACATTACAATATTTTTCCTGTGGATCATTCTCAGTTCGAAACTCAATCGCTGCATAAGAAAAGTGCTCTGTCTCTCAAAGCGAAGATCACTTCATAAAATAATCAAATATTCCGACATTTCCTCTACAATCCTTTACAACACAATTATTGATTGCGATTTTCTTTGAAAACTGCTTTTTTATTATCAAATATCGCCTCATCGTGACTGGGAGGTGTTCCTGTGTGTCGGGGTGAGATGTACAACGGAGAGGGATTCGTCCCCCCGGTAGGATCTCCCAAGATGAGAAGGAGTCCAGCGTTTCCATCAGGAAGCCTAGCCAATACTAATACCAGGATCCGCCACCGTCCCGGTATCAAAGTCGCACGGTGGCAAATCTCCCTCTGATCCACAAGGGCTGCAACTGCCTGTCGTGGTAATGACCTGGGCAGACTTTGGCCAGGCTGATCTCAAGATTCCAGGGAACCACAATGGCTTAACCAGCAGATCTCCGAAAGATGGTAATTATGCTGGGGTGCGCACGACTGGTGATGACGGGTCGTTCAAGAATTAAGTATTTAGTAAAGCAGAGCCAGACACTATTCCGTATTTTGTCTCGATTTGCGCCATTTTTTTCTTTTTTTGATTCGAAACTATTAAACTCACAGCAGTGTACTTATCTTACCATTCACAATATTGTAGGTAGAAGGCGATGAACATAAAACTGGAAGTAGTTAATGACTTCATGACATAATACCATGGTCGAGAGTCCATTAAACCCCACTCGTAAACGCGACGACGTAACCGCTCGAAACTTTCGACAACTTTTTTCTCCTAAAAACCAGGTTTGAAACATAATATACGATAATCTCTTTCCCTAAAAGTATCATTATGACTAACTATATTGTCCAACAGTACTTATAATTTCCTTTGTGACGTTACTGTGAAAAAAATACTGCTTCTTCAAGACTATAGGAAAGTTTATCATTGTGATTTCAACTACATCCACAGCTGAGCTGAGTTTAATGCCGATTTGTGGTCCCCAGATCAATCCCGTTGAAGGGCGACTGCTAATGGCAGCATTAGGTAGAAAACTAGCCGAAAAAAAGACAAAGCAAGGGCCTCAGTGGTTCAGTGTGCAATACGCAAGCCCTCGGAAAGGGCAATCGTGGTTCGATCCGGTCTAGGGTTCAAGTTTCACGAATATCTCAGCATCATTGTGGTTGTAATTCACTATCGGATTTCTCAAAAAATCAGGCAGTTCAGATTTGCCTAGAATCATTAGTTCACAGAAAATTTGTATTTTAACTTGAGCTAATGTTAGAAACACTTTCATGTTACTGGTAGTTCCAGATTTTCTGGCTGATGTTCTGATGTTCCAAACAAGGCCAAGAACTCCACCAGCTTTCCTGTCATCACTTCTCCTAATTTCGTCTTGAAGCGTCTTTATGCTCCAATTTCGATCGTTTATAATTTTTTATAATCCACTTACACGGCCTCACTTCGCAAGTTGTGCGAAGCTCAGCACTTCTTTCATTTAGTTCTTTCTCTTACAACTGCTAACTACGAAGGCCTTCCTTTTTGCTTATGCATTCGGCTGCTACTTGCGAATTTTGACCTCTCTATGAATGTCGCTAAATGCTGCTCGAATCAATCCTCCCTTGAATCTCAAGACAGCTCCATTATAGCCTTCCTTGACCTTCATCATGGACAGTGGTCAGTTATCCGATCGGAAGACGCTCTTTTCAGTCACTTCTGGGATCAGTTTGCCAACTCCGGAGTGATGGCGGTGGTAATCGGCCTTACCAGGGGTCGATCCAGTAATTATGAGTGTATTACACGGCATCTGCGATTCCTCCGCCTATATCCATTGTAAAAACGTAAGATTGCTAGTCAATCCACCTCCTTTTATTTAAGAACTTAGTTATAGCTTTTTATTTTCTGCCTAGTATAATTTCACGGCAGGGTACTAAGCGAAATACAACCGAAACGTTGCTGAGATATTTGCAAAACACTGGACCGCAGGTGTCTATGGTGGGGAACGAACGCGCTATTGTCTTTTCCGGGGAGTAACGCGTTCATCACCACACTAAGAACTTAGCGTTTAAAAATCATAAACATCAAAAACCATCCACAACAAGCAAAAATTTGTAAAGTTTGCTGTTAGAAAAGAATCAAGCACAGGCGTCAGCAACCTTAGAAAAAATTGAAAAAAAAAGAATGAAAACGTGAGGTCAACTCAAACAAGTTTTCTATTGCAGTGACTCCTGAAGGTTTCGAAAAAAAGAAGCCGAAAAAGCATTAAACTTTAGGCTTTTTCCTTATCGGCTTCGCGTTTCTCACCTCTTCGACAGAAATATCGTAGGCAGCGATGTTCACATCAGCTTTATCTAATCGAATTTTTAACGCCTCCTCAAAATCTTCTGAAGGATCCCAGGCGTTCTTTTTTAGTGCCTAAACAATAAAGAGGCAAGGTCTGTAAAAAAAATTCGCATTATGTAAAAAAACCTATATTATAAATTACTTTATTATTCTTAACCCTTTTATTTACTGCCTTTTTCTTTTTTAATGGCAGGGTATGTTGCGAAATATAACTCGTATATAATGCTGAGATATTTGCAAAAGTCTGGACCGCAGGTGTATGCGGTGGGGAACGAAAGCGCGCTGTGTTTGTCCTTCTGGTTTGATCTTTAATCTGGGGAGCCCAAATCCCGTTGACGGGTGATTGCTGATGGCAAAAAGATCGATAGAACTAGCTGAGAGACAGATGGAACGAAGGACCCGGATGGTGTGGTGGTGAAGTGGGCTGCTCCCCGGTAAGGACAACAGCGCGGGTTCGTTCCCCACTGCACACACTTGCGGTCCAGAGTATTGCAAATATCTCAGCATTATATACGACTTATACTTTACTATTACTTATATAAATTTAATATTGTACTTAATACTTGATACTTGAATGGCTCGTCTTCATCGGTTGTGCAGACCCCAGTACAATCTCCACTTTTCGGAGATTTGCTTGTTAAGCCATTGTGGTTCCCTGGAATCTTGAGATCAGCCTGGCGAAAGTCTGCCCCAGGTCGTCACCAACACAGGCAGTCTCAGCCTTTGCGGATCAGAAGGAGATTTGCCACTATATGACTTTTATACCAGGACGGTGGTGAATCCTGGTACTGGTTCACTCTTAGCTAAACTTCCTGATGGAAACGTCGGACTCATGCTCAGTTTAGGAGACCCTGCCGAGAGGATGAATCCCCCCGTTGTACATCGCAGCTCGACACCCAAGAACACCTCTTAGCCATGATGAGGCGGTAAACCGTTGGGAGGCATTTCATATTATATGTCTGAGTAATAAGCAATAGGTGGAAATACATAAGAAAAAATCAAAGACGAATCTAGCTGTAAATGAAGATCGTCTAAATAAAGGCATAGAAAGTGAAAATCTCACCTCAAGATGTTTATAGGCCTTCCGCGAACCTTCGTGAAAAGCATGAAATATGTGCGTAGCATCTGCATTTCTGAAACAACACATTAAATTTGTTGTGATAAAAGTAGATGACTCAACACTTCTTCAAAAAAAGGTATCCGATGGTCATCATTTTCTGTTAGACGCTTCTCGCAATCGAATCAATCAAGCGTGAAGGTGATTTCATTCAATATTGGCATTGAGAATGGATTCTCGTAGCGTGCGATATATAAAGTTAGAGTTCTTTTTCCTCCTAAACAAGTTTCGCGTCAATTCGCCAAGCCCGATGTGGTGAAGTTTCGTTCGCCTTGGGCGGGTGGTCGATCCGACAATCTGGGCGGATTGCACGTCGTCTCCTAACAATACGCCAATCCAAATGTAGTATCACAGTTTTGGGTTACTTACAACGCTAGAAAAGGTTGCACTTTTATGATGGCAGCCGCTTCGGCGATATTGTCTTCATTGACCAAGGACCGTCTTGAACACTGCGTAATTTCCTGAAGAGGTCAAGTCATTTTAGTGCGGCCTTTATAAAAGGGGCAGTGCCTCAATTTGACATGACACGGCGACTGCGAAGACCCACATCACATGAAGATTCAACCACTGCAGGCCTTCGACTGGAATGACCATGGCTCTGAAGGAGACGATGCCGCCGACACATTACCAATCATGAAGATTTATAACCACCTCGTGTAGGCTTTCCAATGAACACTACCTCTGTTGAGGTTCAATACAAGGTCATGATGAAAGTATGTGGTAGCGTTTTTGATGTTTTTCATCGCCACTTGTAGTTCTGCGGCCAGAATCCGAGACTATTTATCTTCTATGAGATAATGGGAAATGAAGAATCGTAGTGATCCATCCAAAAATAGTTGATCAAATTCGTAATATTAGCTCCACAAAAAACATAAAATAAGCATTTGAAACCATGTTTGCTGTACAAGAAGAACATCTCCAAGTATAAACTAGTATCCAACAATTTCTTCGCACCTTCTCACCATTAATCATTAACCAATTCATCGTTGTTAAAGAATGCTCTTAGTCGAAGTGCGATGTAGAATAGGATTACCCAGCATGAGAAGTTCGGCATTCCCATCCGGAAGTTCAACTAAGAATAAACCTGAGCATAGAATTGTAGTACTTCTGGAAGAAAGTTAGTTTGAACTGGTGCTCCATGCAGTCCACAAAATTCGGAGAGTGCTTATGGCGCCACCAACAAGCGGCCTGGCAGCAGTTGTTACTTGATATTTTAAGGATGAAATCTTACTAAACCAGGAAAGTGCTTGGAAAATATAAAAATATGTAAGGCTACTAACGCGTATTGCCGTATCACTGCTCCTCCGAGGTGATTTCGTATTGTCTCCTCGTTGATGTGTAGCCATTTCTCATCTATCTGAAGCGTAAACATCTGAATATCATCGCTAACACACGGACCATTTCACTTTGTAGAATATTTACTAGGATAACTTTTATAAGAATACTATAAGGTTTTTTTTCCAAAATTGAAAGCAATGATTTTCTTGAACTTATTGATTAGAATGTGAAAAAAGGAAGAAGTTTAAAGCTGGAACAATTAATGGGAGATAAAGGATAAATTGTTCGACATTTACCAACCCTATAAGGATACGTACGAAATCGATCCCCTTCATAACATCCCAAAGGTGAATGGGCATTCGACTTCATTAAGCAACGTTTAGAGGTGACTGAATGCATATCTGGCCTTTACAATGACTCCAGGTGGCCTACTTGTGTATCGAGCCAGTGCTGCTGTCCTCCCAGACAAGTGTGGTAGCAAACTGCCGATCCCGAAGGGATGGAAGGCTTGGTCAGCCATGGGCGCGGAGATGGATTCCACGTGCGTGTTGCAGGGCGCCTTCTAACACTGCGCCACACGTGCCCATATCAGATGTAGGAACGTATCCTAAAACTGTCTGCCTTCAATGATATTTAAAATTACCCTTTTAAAGCTTCGGTTCTCTCTTTTAGAGCGATTTCATGCCAATTAGTCGCAAGGCAACGTGGCGCATCATCAGGTAGCAGATAGTGAGCTAATCGCGAACCAAAAGCGACTTGCCGGTTTGGCATATACCTTCTGCATTTTCGAGGACGTCTTCAAGCTCGCGTGCGTGGATTTATTCCAGTTTACGCGGATTGTATTCTACGAATCAATTGGCCTAAAGCCTGCAATCGAATAACAGGGAAATATGTGGAAAGCGGGTAGGAGTTGCCTCTAACGAATAGATTCTATATCCATTCTGGAAGAGAATGGCAAGGTACCCTTGAATATACCCAGCCCCATGTTCGCAGCTCAAAAAGCTAAACTTGGGTATGAAAAAACTAAACACAGTAAAATATTTGGGCCACATTCCCCTGAGCACAAATGAGCGTCCGATAAGGCAGAGTTAGGCAGGACGAATGCAGAGAGGCTGCTGAATTCTCAGAATCATTCTAGGCCACTAAAATCGTGGAAGACTAAGCTGACGATCTGTAGCTGCAAAGCACGCACACTTGCACCTAAATTCTGGTTAGAACACTTGATCAGGCAGGGAAAATGGATAAAGGAAGACGTCATAGACTGGATGAAATGATGAAAAGATGCCATTCATTCAACGCCGTCTATAACATCGGCGAAGAACTGTTCCTCGGAACATGCGGCAGTAGAGGAGTTGGCCGAAGATTCTAACAACACGAATCAGATGTTTACGACTGGAGAGATGTGGAACAATACCATCTTTGACAACCTTCGTCGTTTACGCGCTAATATCAGACCATGACGAAGAAGAAGTCGAAGCCTTTTATATGGGTTTCGAGAACTTCTACAGAGAAGACCATACATTCTTCAAGGTCATCATTGGAGATTTCAACGCCAAGATTGGACCAAGAAGAACGTCTGAAGAACGTCGCATTGGGACCCACGGATTAGAATGGAACGAACAAGGAGAGCGGGTACCTGAGTTTATCATGGGGACCATGGCCATCCATGGTAACTCACAATTCCAGATGCCCCATCCTCAACGCTGGACGTGGGAGTCTCCCAATGGAGAGTACCATAAGAAACATGTTACCTGTCAGAATGCAAAGCTATTTTTCAATGGAAGACCAGCAAGACTGTGTTATTGTTCAAAAAGGGTGGCCTTCATTATATCGGTAACTATCGCCCAACCTGCTTGCTGTCTGTCGTCGACACATCCTTTACTCGACTCATCTTAAATAGGATAAACAGAACATTGCACGAGGGACAATAATATGAGAAAACAGAACTCCAAAAAGTATGCAATACGGTGACCACATCCATCGTACTGATTACCTTTAGGATAGCATCGTCTTGCCTAAACAAAACTCATTGAAGTGTCGTGAGAGTACGAGAGACTGCTTTCTCTAAAAGTTTTTGACTCAGTTGAGGCAGAAGTAGCCACGGAAATCCTGGACAGCAAAGGTCTCTCTACGCACCATGTAAGGATTCTTCGTAAGCTATATAAAAATGTCACAACCAACATATCACCGTCCTGCAACGATATTAACATCGGTGTCAAAAGAGGGATTAGGCAAGGCGGTACTATCCCTCCAAAATTATTTGGCCTCACCCTAGAGAACGCCATGCGAACAATGTAATGGGGCAACATGGGGGTGAAAATCGATTGTCAGCAATTAAACCATCTTCGCTTACTGATAACATCGTTCTTATAAGACCAAACATTAGTCAGGTGGAATGAATGGTTGTGGATTTCTATAACGCTTGTGGAAAGATTGATCTCACATCTCAATCTCACAAAAACGATGTTGATGAGGAACGCATTGGTTACGTATGGCCCTGTTCACGTCTAATGGAATGGGAAGTCAACATAATGGTCAACTTAGCTCCGGAGTTCAGCAGGAGAAAGTGAACTGATTGGAAAGCTTTCAACAGTCAAAAATTCAGCGGAGAGAACAAAGAACACCCGACTTCGTGTCCATCTTTTCGACTTTACGATTTCCCTGCCTTGACATATGCGTCAGAAACCTGGACCGTGCGTAACCAGGATGAAAACTTATTCAACCATATAAAACGCGCAGTCGAAAGGAAGTGTCTACGAGTATCTCATGCCACACAATTGTGAGAAGGAATACAAAGTTCCGATGCACATGAACGATCACAAATCAAAAGGTGCCGTTCTGTACGCCGAACTGTCGAAGATAAGGTGGGCCTGGTACGTAATACGTATGAATGAGAACGGTTGGACAAGCCGAAAGCAGGAGTACCAGCGACTCGATGGTCAGATTTCTTTAAGGAAATCTTAGATACAGCCCACTGTACTACTCTTACAAGTGACAAGGAGAACTGGAACATTTACTGATACCTGCTCTAGTTAATTGACGATCAGGTGGACGATACGTGATGCAGGTGACTTATTGAAAACTTAAATAGCCTGCTTTTAAGAAGAATCGTGCCGGCTGAAGTCTGAACTCCATGGTGCCGATAATTAGTTGTGCGGGTGAAGTTCACCTTTGTTTGAATCCCCATAGCCGTGGAAGGATTTCCCTAAGTCATTATTATAAGCGGTTACTAGCTAATATGTATCAATGGTAGACTTGCCGCCTAGAAAACAGGTAGCTACTTGGACGATGGTGATCTTTAGCATTGGATCACGTTAAAAAAAGCATGCAGATAGGAACGTCGAACTGGTCAAAAGTTAGTGGTTAGAGGGCCATAAACTTTGTGGTCAGTATTTCATGTCTAATCAGCTAAGCCAATCAACTACTTCTCAACGCACTATCTTTTATCTCCGACCACTAATGAGTTCATGTGTGTCCTCTTCCTTTTGTAGATGACATTGCTTTTTTCTGTTTCTTCCGTGACAAACACAAAAATCATTGCACAATTTTCTGATTAAATTTCTAGATAAACTAGTGGAGCTTTTGCTTTTCTCACAAAAGCAATTTCTGATATCGACAGTCAGTAAAATACCCATTCAGCGATTGTGAAAATGGACTCACTTCCTCAAAGTGCTAACGTCATCTGGAAGGATATGTCTGTATGGAATAGATAGTTCTGTGGCGCCGAATATGAAAAACTTAGTTGCTTAAGA